TATTACAATGTATACTAAAGAAGAAAAAAAAATAGACCAATTTTTTTTAACAAAAAATGAATTCAGAAGAAAAGTAAAAATAATATTATATAATTTTTAGAAATTTGACTAAACTGCAAACTTAATGAATTAATAATAAAATCAAAAACTAAAAAAATAGTATAACAAGGATATGGCGACCTAGTAAAGTGGTCAGGTTGTCAACCCTTCAAGTGGTAGGTTGGGTGTTCAAATCCTATAGACAGTGAAAATTTGGATAATCACCTATGTAATATTCATATTATGGCAACTGTTATTAATGATTGGGTTAGGATACTTGTAATGGCAGTCACACCAGCATGACTGGCAGGTCATAGGGCATCTGTGCAATGTTGAAGTTATATGAAGTAATGCAAACTGACAAATCAGGTAGTGCAAACACTAAATAAGTTCTTGTGGCTATGTAAATCTGTTGAAATTGGATAACAAGAAGTCCATTTGGAAAAATCTGAGTAGAGAGGTAGCTAGATCTTTAATGTTCCTAATGTAAAGACTAACCTGGTGAAATAGATATCCAGGTCTAGTACCTGGTCCTAGTAGCCAAATAGGCAAGAACCTCCAGATTGGAAGTTTCAGAAGTATCACCAACTAGGCTGCTAGAATGAACTGAAGAAAAAGAATATCAGGCTGACCTGATATACTGATAGACTAGTTATAGTCCTACACAAACTATCTGGATTGGAAGTTTGGTAAAAAGGCAAAAGAAAAGGCAAAGGTATACTAAAGTACCAGAGTTATGCTGTGAAGTAGATGCTAGGATCTAAGTGAACTCTACAAGGGCATAGGGTTTAATGATTAGCCCTGATCACAAGTGTTGGTTCTGTCATAGCAATACCTAGGTTAGCTGTAAAAATGGATACAGAAGGCTTTGGAGGTTTACTTTAAGAATAAATTAGTCCTAAGGTTGAGGACAATGATCTGAACATCTGAGATAACTAGTGATGTTAATACAGATTACAGATTCAGAAGGTTTAAAGTAAAACACTCAAGCAAGAGTATTAGGTACAGCAATTGGTAGAAAACCTTTAGGTAGACTTCTTAAATAGGTAATATAGAAAAGTTACACATGTAGCTAATTGTACACTTTTCTGTAGTAGCTTATTGAACTACAATAGCAATATGTAATTAATAAAAGTCAAAAAACCAAAAAGATCACTTTAAAAAAAAATAGTATAACATTTGTAAGAAGCCTAAATCTAAAAAGGCTAACAATTAGTCAAATATTATATATTAACAATATGTGCATTATACTTAAGCTGACCTATATGTTACAAATAACAAGATTATTAAAAAGCATAATAATCAATATATATACACTAATAATTGGCCTGATAAAAAGAAAAATAAAAATTATGTAATCTGTAAGAAATAGTATAATGTATTACAGAAATTTGGATAACCTTAACTTATTATGAGACTAGTTATTGCTTTAGCAAATTATTAGTTTATATAATCAACTTAACATAGCAGACTCAAAAGAAGCAGTAACCAATAGGATACAGAACAGATTAGGGTTGACCTGAATTTTATAAATTGGGTTAGATTTAAATCTAAATTAGGTTCAAATTATAGACCTATTATAAATTAAGTTAGGTTTGGGTTAAACTTATTAAAGTATTAGGTTAGGTTCAGGCTCTGTTTATTAACCTGTTAAACCTGATCATATTTGATATAATTTTAACAAATTTTTACTCAGGTTGCTTCTGAGTTTTGGAACTCAACTAAATTAAATTTTATTGAAGGTAAATTTGAGTTACTAATTTACTTTTCAATATATATAAAATAAATTTATAAAATTTAGCTAATTGATTCTATTTACATTTTCTTTGCTATTTTATCTTTCACTTTGATTCAACTGATTTATCTGATTTATAAAATTTACAAATAAAAGATAGCTGCATGAGATGATGTATTAGAAGTAGAGCTAGTTACTTTCTGCTATGATGGATCTTAAATTCCGCCTACTTTATAATCAGTTTATGTGAAGTTATGTTATAAAATTTTAAAAATATGTTGCAAATTATATGAATCAAATAGAAATATGTAACCACATATGAAATATTTGATTACAGATAAAAATATGCAATTATTTTAAATGCAAACAAGTTTTAAATTTAAAGTACTTTGCTGAAACTTATCATTTTGTAGCATAATTGTTAAGAAATTGTTACTAATTAGTTACATAATTGTTGTGATTTTGTTACGACTAACTTTCTTAATATATAGTTACAAACTCATTTCAATATTGTATCTAAATCACAAATAAATTGTATAATAATCGTAAATGTATTATTACAATATTTTGTAAAATATTGTAACAATTTAGATTTAAAATTGTAACAATATTATTTTAATATTGTTACAATCTTGACAAGAGATTGTAACTATATCTTCATAATAACATTACTTAAATTGTTAAGATACTATAGCGATTTAGTTATAATCTCTTTACAACATTAAATAAATATTGGTTTAGCTTTGTAATAACTTGTTGGCAGATTTGTATATAAGTTTCAAGTAAATGCATAATTAATTACGTAGTTATTAAGTAGCTATTAAGTAATAATTAAATAGCAATTAAGTGACAATTAAGCAGCAATTAAGGGATAACTAAGTGGTAATAAAGCAGTAATTAATTAGCAATAAAGTGATAATTAAGTAGCAATTAAGTAATATTTATTTTTAGTACTACTAATTAGCAGTATTATACATATTGGAGTTATTATATGATTTCTGATATTTTCTTAAAAGAACATAATACTATATAATTATGTTCTTTTGGAAAACTGGTTGTTAAGAACTTGAGTTACATTATTATATTAGTATTAAAACAAATCTATTAATTAGCAATTTGCAGTATTGTATCATTATCAATAAAAATGAACTTGTGATATTTCAAATGTTCATGTCAATAATTTTTTTAACAAAAGTAAAAAATTTTCAGCCCAGGAATTTTGAAACAGAGTTGGATATATTTAAAATTACAAGCTTGTAAATGTAGGTCTCAACAGTAAAGATGTGAACTGTAAATTACAGTACATACAAATAAACCAAGGTTTATTTTAAAACTACAGTTTATTTATATTAGCTAATAGTTTATGGATTACATCTTTACTTAACAAAATTTTATTCATTTGAAAATAAAGTACTAAATAAAAAGGCTTTCTTGGTTGTTCATTTTTGGTAATGTTTTAATTGACATAAAGAATTTAGAAAATGTATAAATAAAATATCTTCGCTTAATAAAAACATATTAAATTTTTTTTTTTTTAATAAAGATTTTGCTAAGGTGATCTAATTTATCCATTTAAAGACAGAAGAAATTTCATGCATTCAATCACAACTTGGTGGAGAAATTAGGGCTCCTTTTGGACAAGTAAAAAAAAAGATATTTACTATTGCATACAGTAAAAGTGTTTCAGCTTAGAATTATTAGATGTAATTTAATATTGAACGGATTTTATTTGATAAATTTACTAAATAATTTGATAAAGAGAATATAACATTTTAACATATGAAAAAATAAAAAAACAATGCATTACTATATAAAATCACATGAATCATTTGGTATCATTGTATTCAAGCTTCACATTTATATAGAAATAAGCTTGGCATATATCTTAACACTGGCAAAAATTCAAAAAATTAATATTTTAAATAGCAGATCATTCAATATACCATTCAACTCGTATGTAATTATTTTTAGCAAGTAATATAACATAATACAAAAAAGTGCCATTCAAATTATGTCATTCAATATATCAGTTAATATATATCTAAATGCTTTGTAAATTGTATGATCAAATTAAACTTCTACCCTCAATATATTTGCAACGAAGATATTAATTGAATGACACGTGATTAGCATCAGGAAATAATCAAGATTAGGACATTAGGTACCAATAAATTAAGAATAATAAGAAAGTTTATTAAATTAATAACAAAGAATTAGTTAAAGTGTAACACAAAAGTATGTAATTACTGAATTCATATAAATAGCAAAAGTAAATAAAAAAATAAGTCAGTCTTTTGACTGGTAACAAAGAAAAGTATCAGTCTAAAGTAAATATATACTTACATATAAAGCAGAGTACTGTGTGTGTGTGCTTCATGAAGGTGTGTTGAGTCAAGTGAGACCCATAAAGTAATTGACCACCTGAGGTAGATAGCAGTTACTTCGATGATTGCCAATTAAACAATATAAAAGTAAATTTCAACTTTCATTTCTGATTTCACTAATATAGTAATAAAATTTTGATCATAATAAATTGATCAATATAGCTAGCATAGTTTTTATTACTAAATTGATGTTGCACCCACCTCTACACAACAGAAGAAACCATTGACTAAATATCACTATGTGATTAGTCAACCAATCAAACTGCGAAATTTACAAAAAGACGAAATCATAAAATTCAAGGGGATTCAAAAAATATGTTGTAAAGCAAAGTAAGAGCTTTATGTTTGTTTAACCATTTTTAATATTCATAGAAAAGATAAGTCAAGCGAGCCTTCCAAAAAAGTATTGTAAAATAATATAAAAAAAATTTTCATCAATTGTGTAATGATTTTGTGACATATCAACATCCCTCTACACCTTTCAACTTATTATTGTCTATCTGCATACCTTTTACAGGTACTTATTTTTTTAAAGGAGTGTATTTTTTAAAACTATCTCAAAGATTCTATATTGGATTTTTTGTGAAAGCTCTAAGTAAAATTCAATTTAGAGTTTCGAGAAGGTTTTTTTTACTCTAAATTAATAAAATAAAAATTTATTACATTAAATTATATATTAATATAAAATTTTACTTTGTGTAATGTTAATACAAACAAGTTATATCTATAGTTATGTATTTATGTATTATATAATATAAAATATGAAGAACTAGTTGTATTTCTATATCAGCTACATGTTATTTATAATAATAAAATAAATTATTAATATTTGTCTAATCATCTCACAAATGTAAATTGTTGGCGAAATTTTTTCTAATTTGTGAGGGTACGACAATATTTTTCATTATACTGTCCAAAGTTTTAGTCTTTTCCGGATCTCTAGCAATATAATTAACAATGAATGCCTTTTTAATAAACTGGCACAAATAAAATAGAGAGTTCTCTGCTTTTAATTCATCCATCTTCATAGCGTTTAGCCATCATTGCAACACTGTTTCTGTTTTTTTTCATCAATAAACTTATCTACCTCTTTTTTTTTTGATAAAGTAGAAGTACCTTCTCTAAAAAAAAAAATTATTAAATACAAAAATAAGAATCATAAAACAAACAAAAGATAAATTTACTTTGTTGCTTTAAATAATTCGATCAAATCCTCTGTTCTATCAAGTAGTTTATTTCAAAAGTCACCAAAATGCCTATTCCCGACTCTCAATCATTCTATACCATCAGCTGAATTGAGATTGCATTTGATAATTTGTCTGACCAATTCCTCAATTGCATTTTTATGGGGATTTCGAACACGAAGAAAAAGACATTTTAGTTCTTCCAGAAAATCATAACCAGCTTTTATCTATAATAAATATTTGTTAATAAACTTTAATTCCTCAACGCAAATTATAAAAAATATCTTTTAATTTTACTTTATTATCCTGAATTGCTGGTTGTGATGTGATCGGTAATAATTGAGAAGTAAAGAGCGATCCATCTACAACTGATGATTGCATAGATATATTCATACTATTTGTAAGTTGTAAAATGTTCTGATTTTTGCATAGCTACAGACATAGTTGATAAATTGTTATTTCTCTAAATGCTGATGGAATATTGGAAGTGTTTAGCATGAATGAATTATCTGAATTAAGTGCTTGTAATAATCCTGAAGATGCAGATATAAGAGAGTGAGATGCAGGTCTATTGAAAGGAATAAAGTCATCATTAAGAATGCTTGTAGCTTATTGTATTAGACATTTTAAAGATGCAGATATTGGAGGTCATAATACAGTTTCATATGAAGAAATAAAATCATCACTATGAATGCTCATAGCTCTTGTTACTGAAGGTCTTAAAGGTGCCGAGATTAATGTACTATTAAAATTATCTGAAATAATAGCTCTTAATCTAATATGAGATTGAGAAGATTTCGTCTCTTCAATTTCGCTATTATAACTTACATCCTCGTTATTATGATTTGGTTCAATACTGTTGTCGAAACTATTTAAAATATCATCAATAGTTTGATTATCAACAACTGAAGTAACTGTATCTTGATTTTTTTTATGTGAAGTAACAGTTGCATTATTCTTTTCATAACTAGCAGTATGTGATTTTTTTGATTGTTTGCTTTTTAAGTTATCGACACTATCTAAAGGATCATCGTTATTATTTAAAGGTAAAGAAGTAACCATTTCTTTCTTTTTGCGACCTCATTTATTAGCAGTGTTTGTATTTAATTTTTCATTTGCATGTTTTTTAGAAGTTCTAGAACTCATTTATATTTATGTGTTATGGATTAATTAATGGCTTGCGTCACTAAATAACCTAGCTCAGAAGTTGATCACTATAAACTTTTGCCTAAAGTGAATCGGATTTTAACAACAAAGATAAGTGTTTACTTTATATTTGGTTACTTTTTTATTTTATTATCAAAGAATACTATTTTTATTATTACTTTCGCTTTCGCTTTAATATGACTTAACTATTACATCACAGATTTTTAGCTTTTAAATTGATTACATATTTCTGACTTAATATTTCATGCATAGGTCTTATCTGACTTCGATAAACTTTTTCATATTACTGACTTTTGCATAATTGATTTAATGTTTACAATTCTTCCCGGATCATATGCACATGACAACTTATTTGCTCTAACTTTCTTTGATTTAAAGTCATATATTAATATTCGTATACATAAATTTTTTTTTTATTATTATTATCTCAGAGATCCCTTTTACTAAGTATACTGTATAATTGTTTTGCCATTACAGTGATAAAAAAAAATAATATAGAGTTATTAGATGCGAAGCAGCCAATAATAAAAAATATTAATCGAAAGTTTTATTTATTTAATTTTTTTTTTTTTTAAACTTAGGCAGCCTTGCCATTCACCTTTATTAAGATTCTTGTATACGTATTGTACAAAGTTGGCTTAAATTTTGGTTCGACATCCCCTGGCTACTTCTATGAGTGCCCAGAAGTGGTCTGCCGCACAGGTCAGGTGATTATTCCTGGCCTGGGGCTATACCAAGCTAGCCAGTAAGACCCTGAAAAAAGGGTCTTACGTTTCTATTTACAAAACTAAAAACTGAATCAAGC